AAAAAGGCATATTTCTAGGCTCAATTTATGTAAATTTTAATTACGGACTTTTAAATCGAGCGATTTCTTACATTCATTTATATATTGTTTTTTTTTGTGAAAAGGTAATTATAAAATTAAATATTAGGGTGGTTCTTCGAAGATCGACCACGAAGTTTTGTATGTGGCCCCCTTTTATTTTTTCTACCTACAAAATAAATACATCAATGAAAATATCAAACCTTTAAACAAATTTGTATGGGTTGTTACCAAGGTTTGAAAAAAAATATATATTTTTTTTAATCCCAAGAAATTCGAAAAACTGTGCTTTAAAACTGCTAAATTTGACATATTATTGAAACTTTTGTCGAATTTTCGCGAGTTAAGAAAAATAATAATTTTTCAAATCCTGATAGCGACCGATAGTACTTTTTAAAGTTTCGAAATTGTCATGGCGCCTCATGATTTCTGTATACATTTTAAGAAGCACCCTAATAAAGGCGTATAAAGGCCTAATGTCATACTCGCAAGATCATCAAAAAGAAAAAAAAAAAAACATACATATGTACATCGAATTATATGCGCACACTCATATCTATTGTTTTCCACCATCTATATGCATTTTCCTCAACATTACATATGTACATATATACGTCTGTATATGCAAACATAGAGAAATTTAAATAATTCAGCCGTACACCTGTGTACAAAGCAAATTAAAAGTTAATAGTCAAAAATCAAAGCTCTGTTATTAGCAAACATAATTAGGAAGCATTTCAAATAATGTACATGCGTACATACATACATACATTAATAAATTAAATAAAAATCATAGACAAAGTCCAAAATTGCGCTAAAACTTCAATATCCAAAATTGCCAATAATAGAAAAAATTATGAGTATAGTAAATTAAGCTTAAGCGCAAAAATTTAGACGATAAGCAAAAAAAACTTAAATTAATGAAAGTGATTTATTAATATACATACATTAGGGTGGTGCTTAAAAATATCAACATCTACAAAAAAAGCACCCCTTTATTTTGTTATACATACAAAATAAAGACATTTAAGAAAATTTTTAAATTAATTTTTATGGATCGCTACCAGAGTTTGAAGAAATTTAAATTTTTTTTAGCTCTCGAAATTTCGAATTTCAGTGATTTTGTTTCTACCAAAAAATTTTGCCTCTTGAGTGCCCCTTCTCTTTTCGTGTTCGATTCTAAATTAAAGGCAAAGGATGAGAAAATTATCTGTTCGTTTCTTAAAATATCACACTCTTGTAAGGCAAAAAAGGCACATTCTCTGCCTTGTGAAGCTTTGTCAGGGGTGATGGTTGCCCTGAAAATTGAGAAAAAGATAAAGCTGCACATATCTATTCCGAATTTATATGAACAGTTTTCAATAATACCAGTTATCAGATTCAAGTTAAAAAAAACGCCTACAAACTATTTAAGCATTTGAAATGTTCGCGCATGCTTTTATTTTGTACGTATGATTAGAATAAAAGGGTGCCCCATACAAAATTTAGCTGTTGAT